TCTCTGTGTCACATTCTGGTCGTTCTCCTATTTCAAGCTTTTTCATAATGCTATTGCATACGGGAGGGCCTGCAGTGCCGTGTACATGTTAACGTTTGCATACACTGGGCTGTGCGACTTGCATTATTGGGATCTTTGCTTTTCCTGGCAGGCATGCCTGTGCTAGTTTTAAACGCATTGTTTCACGCTTACAATGATCATAGCTGTTGTCCGTTGCCCCTGACTTGGCTTCAACTCATGGTGATCCCAAATGCCACCGCCCGTCCCACATGATCTTCCTGGTGGGTGTGTTTGAACACATTGTTGCAGCCACTGTGCATATGTTGAGGAACGCTGGTGGGCTAGCTCAAACCCATAAGCCACTGCGCAGGAGAAAGGTCAAGCTGTCTGATCTTGTAAAGATGGACAGCTCAAAAACCCAACAGAGCAGTCCCACACTGTCCTACAGGTTGCCACGAGCCAGCGTCAACAGGACAACAGTGAGCTTTGTTCAATGTAGGCAGCACACCTTCCGGCATGATGCCAGACAAGATTCCCCTGCATCCCACAGAATTTTTATTGGCTAATTTAGGGAAGCTGATTACCAGGCTTTTCTTTCGAGTTTGTCTTATTCTGGAAATGCCCCTGAAATCTGCCCACCGTGGGCTACTCTGCTGACACTTGAACTAAAGGTGAGGTGTGTATTAAGCTGCTAACTGCGAGGTCAGCCGTTTTGAAATGAACAGCCACTCGGTAGGAAAAAGATGAGTTCTGTAAAGATTGACAGTCTCAGAAAGTGTAAGTTCTGTGCTGTCTCCTAGGGTCATGAGGAGTTGGAATAGATTGGAGCGCTGTGCATGTGAGCGCACTTCCAACATCAGAACAACCCGCACACCACCACAGTCAGACCAACGGACAGATGGTAGGGAACTAACGTATGACTCGGCCATTCCACTCCTAGCTGAATATCCAAGGACTCAAACCCACACACAATGGGCATTGCATCATTCTTCACGAGAACCAGAAGGTGGACACACCACAAATGCCTATAAATAGATTAATTACCAAGCAATATCCATCATATTCATGCAATGGAATGCTGATGGAGAATATGACATTCCATGAAGAGATAGGAAGTTCTGATACATGCAACACAATAAATGAACCTTGGCAACATTTCCAAATGGGCTAATTCAGACACAAAAGGACAAATAGTGAATGATCGCATTTATGTGAAGTAAGTAAAACGAGTAAATGCTTTAAAAACCAAAAAAATGATTAGTGGTTACTAGGTGTTGAGGGCAGAGAGAAATGGTTACAGAGTTTCTGTTTGAGGGGATAAAACATTTTGGAAATAGATAAAACTAAACCAGTTGTGCGAGTCTGGGTTGACTAGAGAAACAAATCTATAGACATTTATATACTCGTTTGTGTAAGAAAGACCTTTAGATAAGAAGTAACCAGGCAAAACATCCCAGCCTAGTCCAATTCAAGTCCATAAATCCAATACTAGTCCATAAGTCCCTCTCCAGATGCACACAGTCACAGGCAATGATGCAGAATGCAGGAATATCACAGGCTGGTGAATGCAAAGTCCTGTGGATCCAATTGTGGTAGTTACATAATTGTTGTCAATTTGAGACTTGTGAATGAAGGGGTGGAGGTTAGCCTGTCAATCAAGTTGCAGCTTGATAACCTCATTTGAAGGTGCTAAGGAGATAACTAGTTTGATGGAGGCGGGGCATACGCTCATTCCCTGTGAGACAAATCCGTTGACAAGACACATGGAGTTATGTTAGAGCTCTGGAACTGGAGGAGCCATGTGGAGACCCCTGCCAGCACTGAGATGCTTGCACCACCACTGGATCCACAAGACCTTCCACCCACTGGCCTGTGATCTTCCTGTGTTTGGTATCATTGCATGTGTTTTGTGAGTCTGAAGAGTATTTTATAGATTGGTACCAGCCATATGGGCTAATATCTGATTTATGGACTTGGACTGCGCTGGGATGTTTCCTCAATATTTAACTACTCTTGTATATAAAGCTCTTTCTTATACACATATGAGTGTCTGTGAATTTGTTTCTCTAGTCAACTCATACTAACAGACATGGCAGTGGATGCCTTTCTAGAGCTCTGGCTACCATCAGCACCCGCCAGCAGGATGGTGAAAGCAAAGAGAGGCGGGGAGGTCCCTAGGACCATGCTTACAAGGAGGCACCATCAGGCTATGGCCTAACTGACAGGCTAGACTCCACCTGTACACTTTTATATCTTCAAGTTGACATGAAATTATGTAACTACCACACCAGTTGCAATGTCATTGAGTCATGGCAACCCCATTTGTGCCAGAGTTGAAATGCACCCCCTGTGGTTTTCATGGGCTGGGTTTTTCAGCAGTAGATTGACCTGTCTTTCAGTGCATCTTGGAGTGGATTGATACCACCGATCTTTTGTTTATCATTCATGTACTTAACTGTTTGCATCACCCAGGGACATCGTTGTCAATAGATTGTTGTTGGATGCCATAGCAACCCATGTGACAGAATGCAATGAATGTCCCAACAGTGTGTTCTAGGCTGTAATCTTTACAGGAGCAGATCGCCAGGATTTGTTTTTCTTAATCTCCTGTGGAGACTCTGGGTGGATTTGAACTGCCAAACGTTGGGTTCTCAGCCAAGTGCTTAACCTTTGCATGACCAGGGCTCCTTGAAAGTCATAGTGACCAAGAGAACAAGTTGTGTTTCCTCTGGTTCCTTTCTTCATTGTCAAGTTTCAGAAAGCAAAATTCCTAATTCTATGCATCTTTAACTCCAATTCAGGCCCAAGCAAGAGACTTTGTGCCTCCAAATGCCTGCCTTATGCCTGTGTCTTCTTGTCAACCTCCAAGCTCTCAGGCATGTTCAATTATGCCACGGAACTCTCTGATTCCATGGAGAGCTTGGCTTCTTACAGCCTGGTGGTTCCCAGACATGGGCTGAGGGTAGAACCTGGTGTCCTCCACGTTTCAGAGTTGGAGTTTAAGTCCAGAAGACGTCTTGTGTGACTGGTCCAGGGCCACCCGCGGGCTCCCAGTGGCATGCCAGTGAATACCAAGCCTCTTCCATTCTGCCCAGCACTCCCGTCATGTCACTTCCCTCTTTGTATCCTCGTGACTGCTGATGTTGTCATCCACCTTTCTCCGCCGTCTCGTCCACATCCTCCACTTCCCTACTGTTCTCTGTCTTTTCTCTTCCCTTCCGCTCCTACTCATTGTTCTAAGGGGAAGGACTTACGGTTATGGCACAGTGGACATTGTCCGTCTGTATAAGATGCTACCCCGAGCTCCAGCTCCTTCACAGAGCATCTGACTGAAACTTCATTTGTGGACTCTTGCCTGGCTCAGGCTGCCATAGGGACTGCACAGCTTGTGTGCTACACGAGTCTAGAGGATCGTACCCAGTCATGATCATCACTTTGATCTTTTTTAAAAAAACAGTCTTCTGAATCAGTTATCAGGCATCAAAAAACAAAAAAAATCATATCATTGTGTGCTCACCTCCATGATACGATCACTGAAGACAACATAAGCAAATGTGGTGAAGAAAGCTGATGGTGCCCGGCTATCCAAAGATATATCTGGGGTCTTAAAGGCTTGAAGGTAAACAAGTGGCCATCTAGCTCAGAAGCAACAAAGCCCACATGGAAGAAGCACACCAGCCTGTGTGATCAC